TCACTCCTAACACCATCCACACACAGCTGTGGACGGTCCCTTTTTCTGCAGTCAGAGCTTGGCATGGTCAGCCTTGGACCTCCACTGGGACAGCTGTTTCCACACTGGCCAGGCTGCCCCTCAGCACCCCTTTCTCTCCACAGCAGAACTGCTGGGAACTGACCCCAGGACTTGGCTCAGCACTTTGTGTGGATGAAGAACCAGATAAACTCCAGTCCCTCAGGTGGATGAGAGGAAGACGTGAGAGTGAGAGGGCAGCTCCAGCAGGTCCAGGCTCCGGCCAGGGCCTACCCCACCTGAAGAGGTCCCTACCCTGCTGTTGTTGTTATGTGCCATCGAGTCGCTTGTGACTCATAGCAACACCATGTACAAGAGCCCTAAACGCCGCTCTATCCTGTGCCAACCTCACCGTCTCAAACACACTCATTCCCACCACTCCACTCACAGAATCGATCCATCTCATCGAGGGTCTTCCTCTCCTGCGCCGTCCCTCCACTCTCCCAAGCATGATGTCCCTCTCCAAGGACCTGTCCCTCCTTGCAATATGCCCAAAGTATGTCAAATGAAGCTTCAGAATCCTTGACTCCAAGGAGCAGCCCGGCTTCACCTTCTCCAGGACAAACCTGTTTGTTCTCCTAGCAGTCCATGGTATATTCAACACTCTTCTCCAGCACCACAACTCAAAGGCATCAATTCTCTTTCTATCATCCCTAGTCGCTGGCCAACTCTCCGACGTCCTACCCTGTAGGGTCCACTAATGTCAAATGAGGGCAAGAGACTAAGGGGACCGTGTAGGGCAGCACGAGCCTGGAGCCCACTCCAGAGGCCTCAGGCCCTGCCAGTGCCCGTCCCCACCCTGTTCCCTCCCCGTCTCCCCCCCACCCTCACTGGCATTCCCTCTCACCCTCCCCTTTCCTCCCCCTTGTGTGTCTCTCTCATTTCCCCTCCTCTCATTCTCTCAGCCCCTCTCCCTCTCCCTCACCCTTTCCTCACCTCCCTTTCCTTCCCGCCCATCCTCCCCATCCCTCACTTGCCCCTCTCATCTTCTCTCAGCCTCTCTCCTCTACCTCCTTTCTACCCATCCTCCCCCGTCTCTCCCACTTCCCCCTCTCCTCTCCTCTCCCTCCTTCCCCTTGTCCTCCCCTACCCCGTGTCTCTCTCATTCCCTCCCCCCTCCTCTCCCTCCTCCTCTGTTCTCTCATCTGTCTGTCTCCTCCTTTCCCCACCATGCCCTCAAGCTGGCCAAAGGACTGAAGGGCTGGGCAGGACACAGGAGAGGCAGCTCCAAGGGCAGAGGCCCCATCACATGTCCGCTGTGGGCACTGCAGCAGGGGCTGGGCCTCGGCAGCTGCCCCACCGCCCAACAGAGGCAGAGGGCTGGGGACTGCTGTCCACCGTGAGCCCTGGACAGAGGAGGCAGCACACAGCATCGCGAAGAGGGGCATCCTGGCCCAGGGCTGTGAGGACAGAAGCATGCAGTGTCCGGGGCAGTGGGAGCAGCACTCCAGTCCGGGGCGGCATCCCCAAGTCTCTGACCTCTCAGGTGAAGCTTGTGCAGAGCATCTGGGTTCAAGCGCGACCACAGGTGGGACCCTGTGGGCCCTGCGGGAACCTCCAGCTCACAATGGAGGCCGAGGGGGCGCCGACAGAGCCTCTGGGGCCCCGGACAAGGGCTGGGAGAGCCTGTGCTGCCCTCAGTACACCACCACCTCTCCAATCCTCCGGGGATGGCTACCGTATCTACGTATGTGTTCACGTGTGTGCACATATGTGCTGTGAATGCAGACACAGGTGTTCATGAGTGTCTGGGGGTGGCCACCACATCTACTTCTGTGCACATGTGTATGTTAGAGACGTATTCAGACGCGCTCACATGTGTACACACCTCCCATCTATCCGAATCCCTGGGAACGGTCCTCAGACCCACATGCATGTGTGTGTATCTTATGTTATATTCATGTATACATGTATTCAAGGGTGTCTATACATGACTGGGGCCGTCACATTTATGTACGTGTGCATGTGTTATGCCTGTATACACACGTGCTTACACGCGGCTCTGTCTACGTACAATCCCTCTAACTTAATCCCCGGGGACGGTCACTACGTCTGTGGTGTGTGTGCTCAGATGCGTGTCTACACAAGTCCTGTAACGGCAACCACCTCCATGTGGGTACACAAGTGCTGCATGTACACACATGTTCACAGGACGTGTTCACCTGAATTCTCCCAGGGACAGGCCGCCACATCCACGCCTACAGACACCTACCTGTGTACGCACGCATCTCTGCAGGCTTGTAAAGTGCACATCCAGGCACCTGGTTCACGTGTGTGTCTAGAGCTGCCCACCGCCCTATCGACGCATTCCCTTCTGACGGTCACCACAGCCCAGCCCACTGCAGGCTCCCCACGAAGACCAGTTCCGGCATGAGGGAGGGCCCTCGCGCACCTGCTCTCAGCCAGGTGCCCAGTGGTGCTCCGCCAAGGTTCAGTCACACACTGGGCACACGGGGGAGCAGTTCGTCACCCAGGTGCGGAGGGAGCGCTGCCCTCCACTCAGTGCAGAGGACGGTCCCTCCCGACACATCTGTCACCCAGGTGCAGAGTGAGCCAATTCAGTGCAGAGGACGGTCCCTGTCCACACATCTGCCACAACCTGAAAGCAGGACTCAGGAGCGAGGACAGGCAGTGGTCAGGCTCCAGAGAGGCCAGCTGCCCACCAGTCAGAACGGCACACACTCATAGGAAGCCAAGCACGCTGGAGCACCCATGGACACAGCTTGTCCCCCATCAAAGCACCTGGACAGAGGGAGCCAAGGCCTGAGTCATCCACTGCCAATGCTCAGAGCCGGTCACTCAGCAGAAGACCCCTCCCGCCCTCACGCGATGCCACACCTCCACCCGCCCCAGGAGAAGCACCAGCACCGGGGGTGCCCTGTAGGCAGCAGCAGCTCCCACAGCCTGCCTGCCAGCTCCCGTCCAGTCCAGCCCGGGGCTGTTGGGTCAGACCTCGGTCTACTCAGAACTGAGCTAGTGGGCCGTGTCCAGGCCAAGGAAGGAAAGGCAAGTTGCCACACACCCGGGCTGCCAGGCGCTCAGGCACGAAGCCACCCAGGCAAGAAGCTGATGGCGGGCCAAATGGTGGGCCAGGACGGGAGGAGGCCTGGGTGCCTGCAGGAGGCGGCTCTCGAGGGCTCCAGGGATGTCATGGCAGGACAGGAGGAACCTGGGGTCAGACTTGAACAGTGCCGTGCAGACACATCTGGCCCTCTGGAGTGGTGGGTCTGTGTCACAGACCAGGTTCAAGTCCCAGTCAGTGTGCCCAGACGGAAGGAAGCCCGTGGTGCAGTGGTGAAGGTTCACTGCACCGGAGAAGAAGGCACCATCCGAACCCCTGCAGCTGAGTCCACTCAGGGACCCCAGAGGAAGAGGAATAGGAGAGCTGTCTCTTGGAGTTCCCACCACCTCTCCTGTCGGCCACCGACAGCTGGGGTATGAGTCAGGACCCGTGCGTCAGCCCCACACAGCTCCCTGCACCAGCACGCCTGCAGGCAAGCCAACAGCATGAAGCACCATGGGGCAGTTCTCATCACTCCAGGACAAAGGCTCACCCACATCAGTCCCGCCAACCCTCACGTTCAACCCTCAAAGACAGGACAACTGTGTTCCCTCTACGTCTCCTGCCCACAGAGGAGGGCTGGCCAACCTCACACACTGCACGCCATGCTGGCCACCCCGCGAGGAGACAGTGGTGGTGCCGGAGAAAGATCACAAACAAGGTTCCTCTCCTTAATCGTTCATTCCATTTCAAAGTCAAAGTCAAATGAAGAGGCTCGCCTGGCAAAATGTTAGCACTTTAATTTCAAATCATCTGACGAAGCTTTGAAAGCAAAAGGCAATCCTCACCATTTGACGGTTTTAAGCTAAAATGCTGTGAACTGCCTGACATACCCAGATGCTTCCAAAAGCCAATTTTCAAACGGAACCAGCCCCCTAATACGAAAGCCTTCCTCTAGGTGCCAAGGAAATCATTAAGAAGCTCCTTCCTCAGAACCACATGGATACTGTCCACCACTGAGAGCTCCCGGCTGACAAGCAGGGGTGGAAGGCAACGCCAGACGTCCCTGCAGACCCAGTGGGTGCCAAGGACACACAAGGGCCCTGCAGCCCATGGAGGTCTCAGAAAGCATGCTAGACGCGTTCCCTAGATGTGATACCAAGAGCCTAAAGCCTGGACCCCCAGGAGACCCAGCCCACAGACATGCTGACAACACAGTCGGAGACTCAGCCTTGTAGCTGCCAGCCTCTCACAGCAGATACCCTAGAGAGACTTTCCGTGTGCACCTGAAGACACACACATGGCTGCTGTCATGCTCACTACAGACTTCCTGCGCTCACTCCTACACAGGGACACAATGCAGACACGCGTGTGCACGTGCACACACACAGAGACAGACACAGATGCTCACAGACTGTTACAGACACGCACACACACACTCAGGCTGCCTCCACCAAGGGCCTAGTCCTCACCCCATGAAGCACCACTCGGAGTCCACACAGAGGAGACCAGGATGTGGTCCTGAGAATGGACGCACTCAGACACAGCAGGTGGGGCCTGCGAGCACGCAGAGTCCTGGCACCAGAGGACAGCAGTCAGTGCTGCCCTCACAAGCCAGCAGCATGTGGCAGCTCCCGCCCTCGGCCAGTTGACACTCCCAGCCCCTCCCTCCTGCCCTCCGTCCAGTCCACGTGCGTCTGTCTAATCCCTAAACCCACACTTCACAGTGTGGCCCCCGCCACCCACTGAGCCCACGCACGCCTGTCCAATCCCCGGGCCCACGCCTCACAGAGCAGGCCCCGCCATGCACTGGGTCCATGCACTCCCATCTGACCCCCAGGTCCACGACTCACAGAGCGGCCCCCGCCATCCACAGGGCCTATACACTCCCATCTGACCCCCAGGCGCACGCTTCACAGAGCGGTCCCAGCTGCCCACCTACCTGCTGGTGAGGGAGTTGTTCTTCTCCTTCAGGGTAAGTTCCCTCTGCTGCAGGTCAACCACAAATCTGGAAAGATCGTCGGGACTCCTGGAAGAGAGAAGACATGGTCAGGCCAGTCATTCCCAGAGGGGTTCAATTTGCACCCATACGAAGAGCCAAAGGTCAGATGCCACAGCAGAGTGAGAGCTGCAAGATGACCCCAACTCAGGCCCCGACGCCCCCCCTCACGGAACACACGTGACCACTGAGGTACCAGGCACACTTGCCCCCTTGTCCAGGGAGGAACATGTGGGAAGTGTGTGTGTTACAGGAGAATGCCAGGACCAGTCACCCGAGTTCACCCGACAGGATGGGGTCAGAGGCTCTCCAGTGCCTCGTGCATCATGTAATTCTCTCACGTGTCACATGTGACAGAGCACAACCAGGGTTCACACGTTACACACATGGATGAACACAGCGATGTGTGTATGGACACACAGGCCCTCACACACTGCAGCTATGAGCACAAACAGGGGCCACGTATCACATGAATGGATGTGCACAAATGCTCAAGTGTCACATGTCTGAGGACAAATGACTCTAACAGGCCAAGCATGCAGTCAAGGTCACGGTGTTTGCACCTATAGGAACCCGACGATGTGTATGTTTTTGCTGTGCATATTTATTTCCATTCCAAAAAAAAGGTGACCCAACAGAGTGTGGAAATTATCAAACAGTATCACTAATATCACACAGCAGCAAACTCCTGCTGAAGATTATCCAGAAACGACTGGAAAGTAGTAACTGACAGAGAACTACCAGGAATACAAGCTGGGTTTAGAAGAGGTCGTGGCACTAGAGACATTATCACCAATGTCAGATGGATCTGGGCAGAAAGCAAAGAGCACCAGAGGAATGTCTATCTGTGTTGCATTGGCTACGCAAAGGCATTTGACTGTGTGGATCACAACAAACTGTGGCCAACCTTGAGGAGAATGGGAATCCCTGAACACACGATTGTGCTTATGTGAAACCTATACTTGGGACCAGGAAGCAGCCCTTAGAACAGAGCAAGGAAACACCGCATAGTTCAAAATGAGGAAGGGAGTGTATCAGGGACGGATGCATCCTGTCCCCGTATCTTTTCAATCTGTATGCAGAACAGATCACTTGGGAAGCAGGGTTTATGAGGAGGAATGTGACATCAGGACTGGAAGAAGACTCATCAACAATTTAAACACGCAGATGACACAACCTTGCTTCCTTGCTGAAACTGAAGAAGACCTGAAGCACTTGCTGCAAAAGGTCAAGGACTATAGTCTTCTATATTAATTGAAGCTCAACATCAAGAAGACAAAGAGTCTCACCACTGGGTCAACTGGTAGCACATGGCAAATGGAGAAGAGATTCAGGTTGTTAGCAATTACAGCTTGTTCAGCTTCACAATTAACACTCTTAGCACCAGCAACCAGGAAATCAAAAGACAAACTGCACTGTGAAAATCTGCTGTCAGGGACCTCTCTAGAGTGCTAAAAAGCAATGATGTCAGTCTAGAGACTAAGGTGCACCTAATGCAGGCCATGGTCTTCACAATTACTTGTTATGCTTCAGAGAGCTGGACAATGACTAAGGATGACAGAAGAAGAATCAACGCCTTTGAGTTGTGGTGCTGGAAAAGAATCTTGAACATACCATGGACGGCCAAGAAAACAAACAGGTCTTTCTTGGTGAGGGTGAAACCAAGTCTCTCCTTGGAGGCTAGGATTTTGAAGTTCCACCTCACTTACGTTGGGTACGTGGTCAAGAGAGATTGGTTCTTGGAGAAGAATATCAAGCTCGGAAGGGTGGACGGGCAGCACAGGAGAGGAAGACCAGGGATGAGATGGATTGACACAGTAACTGGTGAAATGGAAGTTGGTGTGTCGGAATTAGTGAGACTGGCTCAGGACAGGGCAGGCATCTATACACAGGGTTGTTATGGATCGCAGGTGACTCGACGGTACATAACAACAACACTCTCAAAAGCAACAAAAAGAGATATACTATGCTGTTGTTGTTGTTGTTGTTATGTGCCATCGAGTCATTTGCAACTCATAGCGACCCTATGCACAAGAACCCTAAACGCTGCTCTATCCTGTGCCAACCTCGCCGTCTCAAACACACTCATTCCCACTACCCAAATCACAGAATCGATCCATCTCATCGAGGGTCTTCCTCTCCTGCACCGTCCCTCCACTCTCCCTAGCATGACGTTCCTCTCCAAGGACCTGTCCCTCCTTGCAACATGTCCAAAGTATGTCAGATGAAGCTTCAGAATCCTTGTCTCCAAGGAGCATTCTGGCTTCACCCTCTCCAGGATGAACGTGTTTGTTCTCCTAGCAGTCCATGGTATATTCAACACTCTTCTCCAGCACCACAGCCATATATTTTCTTTTAAAACCCCTGAAGTTCTGAAATCGGAACTTACTCCTGTAGGTAAAAGCTCCCGAGGCACAGCCCGCCACGGGCCGCGGTGGGTGGGCACTCTCAGCACAGCATCCTGGGCAGCGAGTTGCCCACGGCCATGTGTCGGATCAGACCTGAGTGGGCACCTGCTGGCAGTGTTGACTGTTGCTGGCCCCGGACCTGTCAGACATCCGAGCTGCATTTACCAAGGTGCTCTGGGGAATTAGCGGGGTGCCTGTAGCAATCCTCATCGCCCCTGGAAACACTGCTGCACACACATGCAGGACCTCAATCCACTCCACAACTAAAGACGCGGCGGGCCAAGGGCAGCGCCTGCTGTCAATGACAGAGTGACAGCTCCTACACCAACCACTGGGGACCTGCCGCTGGCAGCTCGGGCTGGCAGCTTCCACAGAGGCCTTGTTCACGTGAGCAGTGCATGCACTCCGGCTGCGCAGGGCAGCCGCCACCAGCAGCAGCTATTCCCAGGTTCCTGACAGATGTGCCCCCTCACAGAAGGCAGCAGGTGGACAGTCTCAAGGAAAGGCACCATGCCCCTCATTAGCGACCAGGCCCTGCCTCCCCCAACCCAGTCATTTTTGAGAACACCTGCCAGTGTAGGCTGGCAGGATGGGGCCTGGCCGCCAAGATGGGCAGGCTGGGAGAGGAGCCCACCTACTGGAGCCCACAGGCCGGGAGGAGACACAGCCACCAGGAACACGCAGGCCAGGACAGGGCCTGTTCACCAGATACGCTAGAGGGGGCCTCACCACCAGGGCGCGCAGGCTACAACAGGCAAAGCAGGCTTGTTCTAGAAGAAGCCAGGAGCAGAAAAGAGAGGACTCGAGGCTGCCAGCACATGGACGTAAGGGCCACAGGACAAGAGGCGCAGAGCCGCAGAGCCACAGAGCCCATGGATGAGCAGGTGGGAAGGCAGGACTCCGTCTGCATGGGACGACCACAGCCAGACTCACGTGACAACAGAGCAGAGGAGAGGAGGCAGGCGGGAGAGGGAGGAGGCTTCCTCGCCCTCACTCACCAGCCACGGTGTGGACCAGGTGAGAGGAGGACCTGTCACGGCCCTGCACCTGGAGCAGCCAGCCCATCAGAGCTGGGGAGGGAAAGCTCCAGGGGACACAATCTGCTAACACCCCTAGGCTGACAGTCCCATGTTGTTAGGTGCCACCCAGTTCACCACAACCCGCAGCGACCCCTAGGGCCCCGTAAGGTACAGGTCTGAACAGGTCCTGTCCTGCACATCCTTACCACCTCTGTGTCCGCCTGCCTTGGGGAGGGTTCTTCCTGTCTCTGCCCTCTACCTTTCCCAGCACCACTGCCAAGGACTAGGCCCTCCTGACAGCACGCTCAGAGTGTGGACGACGAACTTCCACGACCCCTACTCTGAGGAGCCCTCTGCTTTCACTTTCCAGAGAGACTGCTTTGTTCTCTTGGCAGCACGGAGACCACAACGCCAGCACTGAACAGAGGTATACTGCATGATCTAAGACAGAAGTGGTGCCAACTGTCTTCACAGCACTGACCCCATCACAGCACCCTGAGAGTAGAAAGGATGGGAGGTGTCATCTGATTTGGACCCACCACAAAGCACCCAGGAGCAGGGTCAAGAACTCACTGACAGGGGGCAAGCCTGGCCCTCCAAGCACCTCCTCACAGTGCTGGAGAGCAAAGCTGCCACCGAGGCCTCACGTGCGCCTGACCCTCCCGTGCACGAGAGGGCACGACAGTGAACGAGGCAGGCAGGAGGCCTTTCAATCAGGAGGGTGGAAAAGAAAGCCGGACACCGGACGTCACCGGACGTCACGGACTGTGGAGGAAGGAACCCACTTGTTCTGGAGTAAGCACAGGCAAGATGCGCCTCAGAAGGAAGGAGGAGGCACCTCGTGTCAGTCGTTCTGGGGATGTTATCAGGACCAGGCTCACCAAAGCAGAAGGCCCTGAAAAGACCAGAGTCTCCAGGAGAAGCACTGGCCCAGTGGCTGCGGCAGCCCCGCGACGCTGCACGGGACCCACGGCTGTTTGGTTCTGTCATGTGGGGAGCTGCGATGAGCTGGAACCGACCCGATGGAGCGAAACATGTGGGGATCGATTACACGTGAGAGCTGGGCATGAACAAGGAAGACCGAAGAACGGCTGCTTCTGAGCTGGGGTGCTGGCCAGGCAGCGGGTGTCCCAGGGCCTGCCAGAAACACACACATCTGTCCAGAAAGGGGTGTTGGGGGGCTCCTTAGGGCAAAGCTGGTGAGTCTCAGCTTCACAGACCTGAGGCGTGTTGTCCTTGAGGCTAGGAAAAGCACAGGGTCAGCAAAGGAAGAGGCGCACTTTTGATGAGATGGGCTGACTGCGAGGATAAGCTCGAGCGTGGTGAGAAAGGCAGGTGGCTCAAGACAGAGCAAGGTTCACAAGGTCCCTACGTTGCTCATGACCTAGTGGTAGGGAATCGTGCTGCCAACGTAAAGGTACGTGGTTCAAATCCACCAGCGGCTCCGCAGGAAAAAAGATGGGCAATCTCCTCCTGTGCCATTTACTGCCTCTGAAAACCTGCTGGAGGGTCGGCTACTGGGCTGCTAGTCAGTTCCAAATGGTCAGTACACAAGAACAACATCAAGTTTCTAATTTTTTGAGGGTAAATAGTAATAATAAAT